GCACGGCAGCCATGACGAAGCTACTGCTTGAGCACTGCCGGTGTGACTGAGCCAATCGCGAAGGAAGCATGTCAAGCGACGGACACGGCTTTTGGGCCACCCTCGAAGCTTGCGTTGAAAAAGCAGGAGCTGGTGACTGGTGGCTTCACATGGCTTTGTGGCAACTGCCTAGCTCGAAGTTAACATTCTGCTAGAGCTCTTTGGGCATTCGACGGAAACCCCCGGCGACTTCCATCTCCAGCTCGAGTCGAGGAAGCAGCAACCTTACGGATCTGACCACTAGAGCCACGGTTCCGCATGCATGTGCCGGTGTGCGCACCAAAAACTGACACCCAGTGACAGTGTTGCGTGCCTCCCAGTCTCCAGTCTAGGGGTGTGATTCTGCACCTTTCTGGCAATAGCAGAAACATCTTCAAAACCGAGTTTTGCGATAGGAACCAGGATATCAATGAACCTCCTCGATGCACCGGCCGCTGGAACAACCATGCAATTGCTATGGGAGAGAGTTTGCGCGCCATGCAAAAGAATCCCGCAAGCAGCGGAGGCGAGCTAGCAGCTTTATTGAATCCGGAGGGGATGTGTACGCGCAGGACACGCATCGTGCTTGGGAAAGATCGGCAATGCGTAGCCTACCAGGATGTAGCGCAACGCACGTCATAAGGTGAAACACCGTGACAATTTGCTGCAATGGGTATTGCGTGCGTTTTGCTGGCTTCGAAGCTGATTTTCAGATACCGTAAATCATCATCAGAACCATCAGATTCCTACATTCCTGGATGTATTTCTACCTCGCACTACTCTGGCTGCAGCAATGATTCTGACCCGTACTGGATTCTCATGGTTATGGAATTTCTTCTGATGTCGGTGATACAACTGTTACCAGGTTGCTAGGATCGAGGGAGGCAATACCAGCTCAAAAATGCAAGAAGTCATATTCGAGCGAATGTTCCCACTCAGGACCACACCACCCGTCGCAATGCTCTCCTAAACCATATCTGGGCCCGCTGCAGCTGGTTGGGCTGTCTGGTTCTGCGCAAGGCCTGCGGAATGGAAGGGATTTGCTTTCACGCGATCTCTTCAACAATCGCCTGCAAGCTCCCCGCTGCCTTCCAAATGCGAAGTCTACTAGCGTCCACGCACAGCGAAAAGGAACCCTGAAAAAAACCCTTTCAAGGCTCTGGCTAGACCTCACGCCGCCCTGACGCACCGTCAGGCCGTGTTGGGCATCGGGCCTCTGCGAATGTCGTCAGTGTGATGCACAGATGCACAGAGCAAGCATCGAGCGAGCTCAGACTACGCTACAATGCAGGTGTCTGCTTTTTCCGTTTCTGGGCAGACAGGTGGTTCGTCGTTCGATGAAAATTGAAGAAACCATTCCGCTCGGGGGAGGCTTTGTCGCCCCTCGT